TGATCATCAGTGTGATTTCCAATTGTGATCTTCGCAGGTTCTTCCTTGTGATTGCTTGTTGGGAGTTGTGTCAGAGAGTGAGAAACACTGAGTGTCTTCTCCCCATCTGTGCATGATTGTCTTCCGCTGCTTATTTTCACCTGTGTGCAGTTTGGACTCTGTCTCCTCTCTCCCCTTCTCTCATGCATATATGGGCATGTATGAGATTGTCTTTGTGTGAGTGGCGATAAAATTCGTCAGACAAGCAAGTTCATAACACTTGACATTCGCGACATTTCGGATTTTCGTCACCTTTGACAATTCAAGATACTATCTTTGGAGACATTGAGTTGACGTCATCTTCCCTCTCCTCCTCCTTTCGTCTCTCCCTCTCTCCCTTCGTCTGTGGATGATCTTGATCCCTGGCCTTCGTCTATGTCTGAGGCCAGGGCATTCACACCCCTGATGAATGTTTGAGAGTGTTTCGATTGCAGTCCGGGTCAGGTCTGAGTCAGTCCAAGGTATCTCAAGTCTTCCGCTTGCATTTGTATAACTCTGTATTATGTGGTCGGTTCTGGGAATCTGCGCCATACTTATGACTGTGTTTCACGAGTATGCAACCGTTTGGTATCGGAGCAGACCAGCATTGGATGACTCACGATTAAACCACCACTCCCTCCGACAGGAGAAAATAGCCCCTCCCGTGAGTCCGGGCGAATATTTAGGGAGGGCGGCTACCGGTGGGCGAAGCAGCAGGGCCAGTTCCGTGGGAAAGGAGGAACCCATTGCATCTTCGGGCCGCAGGTAGTGTTGCCTGCTTTCGAAGGTGGGAACAGTGGCGGCCACCACTTTTTTCTTGTTTTTTTTTTCTTTATTTTTATTCTTTTGGTGAATGACTTGTCAGTTTTCGTTTTTTCATGGGCCTCGTTTTTCTTATGCAGTCCACCGCACGTTTCCTCGTCCACATGCATAGAAGGTGAGGCCGAAAAAAAAAAGGACTTAGGCCGAAAACAACAATCTTCGTTTTTTTTTCCGTACTGGCTTCGGGCCTCGCTGCACTACTGTGGAAATGTGGAAAACGAGAGTGAATCTTCCACTGGATATCGGAAAGATACACCGCCAAGATTTTTGTCTTTTGTGCATGTCGGGAGTAGTGCAGTGAGGCACTTCGTCGCCGAGAGCTTGCCCGTGCTGCGTCGTCGCTGTCGTTGCCGGGCCGATGCTTCCATGTCGGCGCGCTTGTTCTGCAGAGCAGCCACCATCCGCCAGAACCATGCCAGCCATGATCAACAGCTGGCGGAAAGACAGGCTCTCTCTCTCTCTCTCTCTCTCTCTCTCTCTCTCTCTCTCTCTCTCTCCCTCTCTCTGTGGCTTGGAGCCTCGCTGCACTACTCTCGAAATGTGGAACACGAGAGTGAATCTTCCTTTCCGTACTGGCTTCGGGCCTCGCTGCACTACTCTATAAATGTGGAGAACGAGAGTGAATCTTCCACTAGATATCGGAAAGATACACCGCCAAGATTTTTGTCTTTGTGCATGTCGGGAGTAGTGCAGTGAGGCACTTCGTCGTCGAGAGCTTGCCCGTGCTGCGTTGTCGTTGTCGTTGCCGAGCCGATGCTTCCATGTCGGTGCGCTTGTTCTGCAGTGCGGCCACCATCCGCCAGAACCGTGCCAGCCATGATCAACAGCTGGCGGAAAAACAGGCTCTCTCTCTCTCTCTCTCTCTCTCTCTCTCTCTCTCTCTCTCTCTCTCTCTCTCTCTCTCTCTCTCT